TAATCACCCTCCCTACAGGGCTGTTAGATCCCAATTACTAGCATCTACATAGCCTGGAGAGCCAAGAGCAGAAAAGGCTAGCACAGACGGGACTGGTAATACCCTGTCTGAGGGATTTTAAACCAAAGGTAAAATATTTTTTCCTCCCAGACTGCCACTGTAGAGCTCCCCTAGCAATGTGTGTTGTGTTGTTAGGCGGCCTCGCAGCAAAGCTACTGAGCAGATTGACTTTGATGTCCACATGTTTGTAAGAACACACCAAAGCAAGCTCCTGATGAAGGGAAAGCAGCAAGGCACTTTATCTGAAACTGCCAGAGGATCAAACTCAGGGGAATTGGTAATTAAATAGCACCAATAATGAAGAATAGGTGACCTAACCGTTTTGGGCTCCCTGCATCTGGGCTGCAGAGATCATCTGGTCTGTTACTCAGAGGATGGGTTATTTTTAGTTCAGAAATGGTCTGTTTACACTTGACAGCACAGGCAAGTGAACTCTGTAAGTGTAACCCCCCCCCACACACACACACGCACGCTGGAAGATAATTTCCGCCTGCACCAGAGAAGGCAATTAAATGTGAGTTTTGGAAAATGGCCATGAACACGTAATAAAGCCCCGAACACCAGTGAGGTTCACAGCCCCCTTTCCCAGAGTAATTTATAATTATTATTGTTATTAGATTGTGGTGTGTAAAGGCAGTTTCTGCTCCAAGGGAAAAGAACATGAGCTACAGCACTAATCATCTCTGCACAAGGTCCTACCTCCTCCGTGAGCTTCCCTCCACCCTACCAAAAAAAAAAAAAAAAAAAAAAAAGCAGCAGCTGGAATAATGCTGGAAAGGAGACACTTGAGATAAGAGCAATACTCCAGATGTGAGATGTGGCAGCTCCAGCACCAGGTAACCTAAAGGAGTAATGTTCATGCTCTAGCCAGCTCGCAGCCAAAGCGCCGCTGTCGGTCACTGAGCTCCCGGGCACTGCTGAGCACAGCCCTGGGAAGTGAGAATCAAAGGGACCAAATTCAAGTTCTTCAGATGCTGCCGTCCAACTGTGCCAGGGGTTGTCTCCACTGTAGGTCTCTGGGATTTGCAGACACTGCCACAAATGTGAATTATCACCCCTTAAGCACCCCGTCCTGTGCATCACTTGCCTGTGACGCATGAGGAGAACAGGGCAGCCTCTCTGCCTCAGCACTAGCTCCTCACCCTGTTTCTAGCTTATTTTTCCCACAGGCTGGTAGAACAGCGAGAGAGGATGTTGTATCCAGGCTCTGCCTTCTGTTTCCACCAATGCTGGGCTAACAGGGTTTCAAATCCCGGCAGGCGACAGACAGCAAAAGGCGTGTGGGAGAAAAATCATTGCACTCGAGCCTTACTGGTTGGCGATATTAAAGTCCTGACCTTGTTATGGGCAGATGAAAACAGTGTCTGAGCCTACAGATTGGTGTCATCGATGCCACCTTTCCTGTGGTCTCAGAACGGGAGCAGCACAGCTTATGATATTTGGGTTTGGGCATGCAGGAATGACATGGGGACGTTCCATATGCTGTAACAGGAGTGTAATTAGGCTCAGGCCTCGGTATGTAGAAAGGGAAGAATCACAAGGCTGACCTATGGTTTGCTTTGCAAGCGTACGGCAGTATTAGCTCTCATCTCTACTCATGCGGTGCTCGCACGCATCACTCGAGGCAGTGAGCAGAGCTGAAGGGGTGGGAATGAGCACTCCAGCAGCCTAGTGCTGTGCTCGCAGCTTCTCTTCAAAGCCGGAGCAGAGGCTCCTGCTCCTTGACGACTGCTATCCCTTCCCAGAGGTGACAGGAATCCAAAGCAAGTCACGCAGGTATGCGCTCCCAGGAGACAGCTGCTGCAGGGAGCGAGAGGCAAGTAAGAATTAAACAGAGCCAGCAGGGAGGTTTTCACAGCACAGAAGGAAAAAAAAAATAATATTAATAAAATAAATCCCTGGTATTCCCTCCCTCCATCCCATTTTGGGAGTCCCGATGCTGGCAGAGAGGAAATGGGGGAGCTGTGACAGTGTCAGGCAGGTCATACCCGTACTTCACCCAGTGAAGACACGTGTCCAGGCAGCTGCAGTCAAGCCCTGGATGAGGGTGTGCCACAAACGAGGAGTTTGTTTAATCAGCAGGAGCTGGCAGGGAAGAGGCAGGAGGTGCAGCAGGGAAGGAGGGAGTTCAACAAAGCGACTGCAAGGAGCTGGGAGGAGAGCCCTGGAACGGAGAGGAAGCCAAAACTCCAACGGAGCACTGCAGGCACACAGGATCAGTCCAGCTCTGCTCTCGGTGAAGGGAAACCACCGCAGCTTGGTGGGCACAGCAGCAGGCACCTGGGCCTGCAGGCCACAAGGGCAGGGCTCAGCCACAGGGCAGTCCTGTCCCCGCACTCTACATCCCTCTTTTCTCCAGCTAAATCTTTAGGATCCCCAGCCAAGAGGCCTTGTGCTGTGTTTCCCTCTGAACAAGGACCAGAGCCAGCAGCGAGCGCGTCCAGAGCACAGCAGCTGCCATCTACTGGCTGACCCCAGGGCTCCTCAAAAACCACCCCAGGTTAAGGGCTTGGAGGAAAAAAAGGTTGGTCCTGGTAGGAAAGCATGTTAAGCAGCTTTTTAAGGCTTTCAAAACAGCCAAGCTTGTGTTCACAAAGTGCATCCAGAGGTAAAGCAGCGGCTGACACAGCGCAGGTTGACGCGGTGAGATGTGAGGACAGCTCAGAGCACCAGGAGAGCCCGAGCTGAGCCTTGCAGCACCAGGACAACGCCGCCCCTGGGTAGCAGACAGGACAAAGCTGACATCAGGTCTCTGGCCAGAGAGGAGTTTTGCTGGGTGGGGAGTTGGAAGCGGCTGCACCTGCAGCCAGCAGCAGCAGAGCTGGAACACAAGCTCCAATGCAGCTCTGCTGGCTCAGCAGAGATAAATCAAGAGCCTGGACCAAAGGCTCTCTCATTGCAGCTGCTTTTTCTTTGCCACAGAAATCCAGAGCTTTCCTGCCTCATTCAGTATCTATTTATATGTGAGGGGAGTGCCAGCTCCTGAAGGTGACCACCACGTCCCTGAAGCTGTCCCCATTTCCACTTTTCCCCGTTGGACAGAACTGCCAGCACGGAGGATTTACCAAATAATCTATATCTCACCTAGGGGGCTCCTAGCTTTGCTGTGTAGAGGTGACAGCATCGCCCTTCTCCCTGCAAAACTTCTGGGAAGCGCTCCTCAGCCCTGTCCTCCCCCAGAGGGACAGAGGTGAGAGAAATGCTCCAGGAACAGGCAAACGCCTCCTAAAGCACTCGTCCAACAGCCTTGAGGTGTGCCTACAGCATAAGGGCCGGGCAGAATCGCCCCCCAAGGTGGGAGCTGGAGGTGCAAGCTCTTGCTGAGCAGAGTGAGGAGGTGTTTTCACACCTGGTCAGGCCAGGAGGATGAGGAGGGCTGGCAGGGGTGCAGGACCGACCTTCACACACTCACCGACACGGCCCCCACCCCAGCGCCGCGTTCAGCACCCGCACGTAGTCCGGGTGAGGGAGAAGGCAGCTCCGAGATGCTGAATTGAGGAGTTTCCATAGCAACCCAGCCAGGGAAACCCTCCCAGAGCTGGGGAGCTCGGTCTGAAGGAGGGGAGGGAGCAGAATGTGCCGAGCATGTGGAAGGCACGCGGCGAGTAGGCTGCAGCTGTGCTGACAGCAGGGCACGGAAAGGCAGCCATGCTCGGGCTGGTTCCTGCACAGCACCTACAGGGATGTGTGTGAGAGCCTGCTCGGGGTCTGGCCCGTGGATCTGCTCACAAAGGAGGGCAGCAATCCAAGACACAATCCAGTGTGTGATGAGGAGCAAGTCCTTGTATTCCCGGGGGATTCCAAAGGCTTGTGGCAGTGCTTAGAAACCCCAGAATGGAATATCCTACGTGGAGGGCAGCAGGTACAGAAGTGTCCCCCAATATCCTGGGCTCTGGGCAAGATGCAAATTCCTGATCTGGGGAGTTTAAGGCATCTTCTTACATCCCAACCAACACAGCAGCTTTTTTCTGCTCAGCCACTCCCAGCACTATGTGGAACAAGCACATCCAGGCAGCACTACACAGCTCCTCTTGCCAGCACGTGCCCTACCTTCAGAGCGGCTGCTCCAGGAAGACACGAGACGTATTAAAAGGAATTTTGAATAAAGCTTTAAGACAAGAGCCTTGATCAAACCCCACGCGTCACATTGTGCTGGAAGGAGACGAACAGAGAAACCCCCACCAGGCTGAAGCAGAGAGACTTCAGACAGCAGGTTAAGAAGTGTCTGTGAGAGAAGGGAGGAAACATCTGACACTCCAAGGCGGTATCAGCACCTTCCCCAGGAAGGCGAGAGCAGCCTGTCCCAGAGAGGATGTCTCTTTAATCAGCAGCTCACAGGCTTGCTCCACAAATTAGCATGCACGGGGCTGTAGAAGCATTTAGTATTCAGAAAGCATTGGTCTGGTACAAACTTATTTGCTGCTGCTGCAGCAGCTGCCAGCGGTGACAGCGAGCTGTGCTACCAGGCAGGCTCTGAGTCCTTTTTCCTTCCTGGAGGGCACCCAAGGGGACAAAGCGAGGAATACAGATCTGGCATCTCCTAAACCCCAGTGTACCACACCCCTCTCATCCCACACCTGCCACCAGGCAGCCAGAGGGACGTGCACCTCCCCAGCCCTTCAGTGCTGCGCTCCTGCGTGGCCTAAATGCACCCCGAGGCCGTGCTGTGCATGGCTGCAGGGGTTTTCCTAAGGGAAATATCATTTTTTTGTGCATAGACCACAACTGAGTCAGGCAAAGGGACCCTAGGGACCACACGCTCCCAGGAAAGGAGCCGGGCTCAGGTTGCAAGAAAGGGCTGAGGACTGTAACACCCACAAGAAACTCAGTCCTGCTCTATTTCTTGATATAAAACTGATTTTTATCTCCCAGCTGTTTGCCCACAGAAGGTGCTGCTCCCCCACAACACCCCCACACCTTGGAGAAGGTCAAACATCCAGGCACTTGTTGCAAAAGTATTTATTTGGGTGCTGACCATAGGAACTATTTTTGTAAGCCAGAGGACAGAAATAACAGTTCTGCAGTCCCGAGGCAGAGGAAGCTCTGAATAATAAAGAAGGCACTGAGGATGAAACCTAAACAGAGCTTTTAACTGATTGTCTGCAAAAACAGAAGCCCCCAGCAGGCCAGGTCACTGAGAGAACCCCAGGACTTTGCTATCCCCGTGGTTAAGCTGGGCTGTAGTTGGAGCTGAGGCAGAAAATCAGAGGCAAGAGTGCCACTAAACAAACAAAGCAGAATTATCACAAGGTAGTCCCAGGACCGCAGTACAACCTCCCCATGTGTTCCAGGAATTTTCCTCTCAGAAAACCCTGGACTATGGCACAGGCAGGGGCTGAAGTCATCTCGTCACATTATTTTTAGACCCTGGCTCAGGGGAGAATCTGTTGATATAAACAAGTGTGAGTGGCAAGCACCAGCCCTTGAAAGGGAAAGAGCAACGACTGAATGAAGGGGAGAGTGGGAGGATTTTTATTTCCCTTCACGTCACCAAGAATTCAGGCCTGGCCTCTCCTTTGCAGGAGGAAGGAAACATGCTCTTGAAAGACATTCTTCAGGAGACAGATCCAGCCTGTCAGGAAAGGCCCTGGTAACAGGGATAGTTTATCAAAGCGTCCCTTCTCCCCTCACCCCCCTTTCCCATACTCTCCAACACTGATTTTGGGTCAGAATTGTCCATATTAAATACCCTTAGATCCCAGTATTCTGAAAGGAGCAGCAACGTTAGGGCAGTCTGAGCCAGCCAGCAGAGCTCCCGTGCTCCCCACAAACGGGAACGTGTCAGTCCAAAGGATGTTATTTCTCCTCCTTAGCTTGCAGTCTGTTCTTCCGCTCCATTCTCTTCTGCAGTTTCCTCTTCATCTGCAGCTGCTTTTGCTCCTGCAGTGTCTGCTGGACCTTGTCACGGAATTTCTTGTTTTTCTTCTTGATCTTGGCCAGCTCCGCTTTCCTTTTTGCCTCCAGATCTGGATCCTGCAATGGCAAATACGAGCACACTAACGATGTGCTGAGGGACAGCGCCAGCCCCTTGCCTTTCCCAGATGCCCACTCTGCTTTCTAACCCCTGATGGAGCAGGCTGCAGGAATCAGACACCACCCCAGAGCACTTTTTTAAGAGCACCCTTTAAGATAAACTCCACTCTGAGGCAGGGGCGAGGCTGACACAGCACAGCAGCGCGGGAGGAACTGTCATTTCTCTTCCACGTCAGTGGCATTATACCAGCTGCTGATTAAAGTAGTTCGTACAGCAGCAACTCTCACCTTCCCTTCAAGGATCATTTGTTTCCGCTTATTTATTTCTTTCTTCTCATCAAAATCCATGCACTCCAGTTCCTGTCAAAGCAGAAATACAGCAGGGCAATCAGTCACCGAACACCGAGTCTGACACAGAGGAAAGCAGCCCTGCTCCAAAAAAAATCAGCAGAGCCTCAGCATTCACACGTTTGGCAGCTCGCAGCCTTTCCTCCACACAGTGCCAGCCTCCAGCCCCAACGCTCAGCAGCACAAAAATGCTGCAGAAATGTGCCATAACAGAGCAAACTTAAGGAAAATATCTAAAACCAGCCCTCCACCACCATGACATGTATTTAAGGGCTTCCACTAGGAAAAAGGAACAGAAATTCTTAATTGTGTGCTCAAGAGAAAAGCTGCATATCCAGAGGCTAATGTTAGAGCACAACAAATCTGGCTATGCCCCAGATTTTCTGTCCTCTGAACAAAGGGCGTCACGTTTGCACACTCACTATTTCACACTCCCTCCTGGTGACGTTCACGTGGGTGAGGATGTCGAGCACAAACCGCTCCTCCACAGAGAACTCCTGCAGCTTCATTTCTAAAGCAGGGCGAGACGTTTACACATCATGGTTGGTTACAAAATCCAGGGACAGATTCTCAACATGTTAAAAAAGTTAAAAAACAAACAAACAAAAAAACACAAAACAAAGAAACACAAACACACAAAACCACAATTACAGAGTTCCACTGAACAAGAGTGGAATTGTTGTCATGTGTTATCAACACCCTCACTTCTGCAGGCCTACATCAACAGATTGCACCCTCCCCTCTGCCTGGAATTCCCCACAGTAGATGTTGCATTTATTGGGTCTGTTTCCTACAAAAAGATGAAGTCTGAACCTACGCAAAGCACTTTACTCTTTCCACCCACCTCAGCATACACAGTAGTGGGGATGTAAGGAAAAAGCTGGCTGCTTTAACAAAAAGGCTAGAGAGTAAATTTCCACCTTTTCCACTCCACTAGAAAGAACAGGAAGACAAACTCGTCCAGGCCTCAACAAGCACGCTCGTGCCTGGCAGCTCAACAGCAGAATCAAAGCTGATGGAGGTTCAAGTGCTCCAACTCTTTTCCAAGCCGTGGTCACAGGAAAGGGAAACCATTTTTATACTGCTGTTCTGAACCACGCATCCTGCGCTGATAAAATCAGGGCTGCAAGTACCACAGGCATGAAAGACCATATATAACCCTAAATTATAGCAGCATTCATGCTCCCCACTTACTGATTTCCTCCTCGATAGCGTGTACGAGATGGATGTCATACTGTGTCACCATTGTAATGGCCATTCCGTTCCGACCTGCACGATAAAAGCAGTGATATATGAGGCCTGACAAGCAGAGGGAAGGGAAGCCTAACCCATGCCAAATTCCATCCATCCACAAGCCAACCCAGCACATTATGGTGACAGGATGCTCAGAAGGGTCCTTGTTTGCTCTGAGAAAGCAGTCAGATATCAGTGCAGAGCAGACACAAGTCAAGCGGAGCCATCCTTGCAATTGAAGGCAGGATGCTGAGCCAGAGATCTGAATAAATCTGGTACTGGCTGAAAAGATCGCACTGCAGCAGTTCTGAAGGCTCCTGAGCACTGGGATCCCAGATTTAGCCACCTGCAGCACCGCCCTGCTGTGAGCAGTGCATGGTTTTCCCTGCTCACCTGCACGAGCTGTCCGGCCGACGCGGTGAATGTAGATTTTGGGCAGGCCTGGAGTGTTGTGGTTAATGACAACTTGCACTGTGGGAATGTCCAAGCCTCTGGAACACAGGGAGACAACAGAAGTTGAGAAACACCCCGTTAACATATACAAAAATACATCACTCTCATGCTTAGAGAGCAAAGTCCAGGCCTTTGGCAACACGGACTGCAGTTTTCTCTTACCTGGCAGCAAGATCTGTAGCGATAAGAATCTTAAAGATGCTGGACTTGAACTTTGCTAAAGCTGCGAACCGCTGCCGCTGCAAAGGGAGAAGTCTGGGTTAGGGAGGCTGCGACCCACGGGAGCTGGCCTGGACAGGCGTTTGGCTGGGGGATGCTTCTAGAAGCATCCTCCTCCCAGCTCTGTCCAGTCACCCACCTGTTTCATCATGGAATGCAGAGCTACGGAAGGAAACTTGAACTTTCTAAGCATCATGTTCAAGATTTGGCATTCCCTTGAGAGAAAAAATAAATCAGAATATATCAGGCAAACACAAAGCTGTCAGATGAGGACAAAACCAGGAATCCTCTAAAAACCCTTGCAGCACAATTACCATGATGCAGTCAGTTACTGAAGCAGCCTGACAGAGGAGGGGCACAGGACACCCATTCCACACCAGCTCACCCCCAGAGGACGCCTGGATTCCCCCTTACGCTCAGGGGAACGCCACCAGAAGCGCACCTCAAGCCCCCGCAGCCTGAGCCACCTGGAGGTGGCAGGAGGACTGGCAGTGCGACCTTCCCCACCCCCTTTCCAGTAACATCAGCAAGAGGAAAAGCAGATGCAGGGCAGGGGAGCAGCTCAACCCTCTAAAGTGCTGCATTTCTGGGCAGCCCTTCAGCCCAGGCTGCTCAAAAGAAAGTTCTACCAAATTTCTGTACAGGCCAAGGAAGCAAAAACCACTGTAGGCTGATAGCAACGCTGCAGGAATTTGGGATCTGAACTAAAACCAGGAAAATGCGTCTTATTTGTAAAAGGAAGCACTAGGAAAAGACTCCACTCACTTGCAGGTTTTGGTGAAGATGATAACAGACCAGTCCTCGTGCTCGTCCTGGAAGGTCTGGATTAAATGGACGAGGTAGGCATCCTTGACTGCTTCGGGTACGAGCAGGTAACGCTGGTCCAGCTCCTCCACCGTCCGCACCCTGTTGGGAGGGCAAAGCACCAAAAAAGATAGATTGGACAAGAGAAAAGGGAACAGGAGGGACAAAAGAGACAGCAAGGAGATGAAATAACAGAAAATAAACAGGATTTGGTGTCAAATGCTCAGCAGAACAGGTGTAGACGTACTCAGACTCAGCCTCCCAGAAGAAGGGTTTGTTCATGGCCAGGTTCTTCAGCTCGGCCAGCGTGGCGGTCAGCGTGGCGCTGAACAGCAGCGTCTGCCTGCGTGCTGGAACAGCCTCCAGGATCACCTCCAGGTCGGCTGTGAAGTCAGCACAGCCCTGCTCGAACAACCGGTCGGCTTCATCCAGAACCTAGGCTCGGCCGAAAACAAACGAGGTCACCCCCGCACCCATCCCTACGCAGCCAAAAGGTTTTAAAAGAGGAGAAAAGAGGCGAGCAAAGGGGCCCTACCAAGAACTTCAGCTTTTTCAGGCTGAACGTGTTGGAGCTGCGGAGGTGATCGGCCAGCCGGCCGGGCGTGGCGATGACCACGTGGGGTTTGCGGGAGAGCTCCAGGGCCTGGGCCACCATGTCTGCAGCAAGAAGCACACGGTCACGACGCATTAACCGAGCACAGACCCGAAAAACTTTCGGTTTACAAGCCTCGAAAACATCTCTCTCATTTCCACCCCTTCTGCTGCTGGTAACACCACCCCAGCGTGAAGGAACCACGACAGATGTTTGGCTCTTTCCCTCCCCAACCCCATCAGGGCCGGAGGGCAGAGGAGGGTCACTCACCGAGGCCGCCCACCACCACGCAGTCCTTGAGGCCGAGCGGCTTCCCCAGCACGCGGAATTGCTCAGCGATCTGGTACGCCAGCTCCCTGCGGGGGAGGAGATAGCTGAGGAGGGGGACACGGGGACACCAGGGCTGGGTGGGGGCCTCCCGGGGTCCCTCTGTACCTGGTGGGTGTCAGCACGAGGCAGAAGATGCCGTAGGGGTCCTCGGAGAGCTGCTGCAGCACGGGCAGCACGAAGGCTGCAGTCTTGCCACTGCCCGTCTTGGCGCAGCCCAGGCAGTCGCGGCCTGGGGGGGAGAGACAGAGAAAAATGGGGAGGGGGGACAGGAGGGGGGGCTGGGGGAAGATGATTGGGGGAAATTGAGGGGACTGAGGGGGATTGAGGTGACCAAGGGGAATTGGAAGGGATTGAGGGGACTGGGAGGACTGGGGGAGATTGAGGGGACGTGAGGGGATTGCAGGAGATGGGGGTGGACTAAGAGGTTCTGGGCGGGATTGAGGGAAGATTTGGGGAGACTGAGGAGGATTTGGTAAGACTGAGGTGACTGGGGGAGGGGGGGGATTAGGGGAGACTAAGGTAAAACTGGAGGGACTGGGGAAGGTGAGGGGAGCCTGGGGGGACCTAGGAGGGCTTAGAGGGGAGAGGGAACGGGGGAGGCTGGGGGGGAACGGGAAGAACTGGGGGGGGGGGGGGGGGGGGTTGGGAGGCCCGGGGGGGAATAGGAGGGGGACTATGGGGGGATTGGGAGAGATTATGGAGGATTATGGGGAGGGATCGGGGGGTCCCGGCGCGGCCCCGCGCTCACCCTGCAGCACTGGCGGGATGCAGGCCGCCTGCACGGCCGTGGGCCGGCTCAGCCCCACCTGCCGGGCCTGCTCCGCCAGCCACGGCGCCAGCCCCAGCTCCCGGAACGTCGCCATGGCGCTGCCCTGAGCCCACTTCCGGTTTCCCACACCCGCTTCCGGTTACCCGCGCCCGCTTCCGGTCCTCTCCGCACTCTCATTGGCCGCCTCCACCTAGCCCCTCCCATCCCACCCTCAGTTTCCGTCTCTGCCATGACGTCACCCCCTCCTCGCGCGCCTATTGGCTGGGATGCGCTATCTCCATGGCAACGGCGGCTTCCGGCAGCCCTCGGGCCGACTTCCGGGGTAGGGACGTGGCTGAGGGAGGCGAGATGGCGGCGGGGCCGGGCCCCGGCGGGCAGGGCGGGGAGGCGGACGAGCTGTTCGACGTCAGGAACAGCTTCTACATCGGCGCCTACCAGGCCGCCATCAACGAGGCGCAGCGCGTCAAGGTTGGGGGTGGGCACCGGGAGGGGCTTCGGGGGGCACCGGGAGGGGTTGGGGGGGGCTTCGGGGGCCTCAGGTAGGGCCTGGTTCTCGCCCAGCGCCCTGTGGGGGCTCGCCTGGGGCTGGGCTGTGGTTGTGGGGGGCCCCGGGGTGCTGAGGGCCCAGTCCTGGTGTCCTTGGGGTGCTGAGGGCCCTGTTTTGGGGGTCCCCAGGGTGCTGAGGGTGTTTTTCTCTTGTGCTTTCAGCCTTCCAACCCCGAGAAGGAGGTGGAGCGGGACGTGTTCCTCTTCCGAGCCTACATCGCCCAGGTGAGCCTCCTGCGCTGTGGTGGAGGCAGCGGGATCTGACCGGAGGTTAGGGGTGGTTGTGAGCCCTGTGAGCTCGGCCTCACACACCTTGTGGGTCCTTCTGCACTGAAATGTTGTGTCTTCTCCAGTGGGAACGTAATTACAGCTACAACAGGTTGTACGTAGGGTCCTGGTGACTAAATGAGACTTTTAAAAGAGGCAGTTTACTTTAAAATGGTGTGTGGGGAGATACTTCTCGGTGTGCTTATGGAATTTGGTGGTGTTTGTGGACTACAATGGGAGAAGTAAAGTAGAAATTTGCTGTGCTTTTGTTTTATTTCTTGCTATCATTCTAACAAAGGTTTTAGGAAATGAACGGCTACTTTATGTGTTCTTAAAAGTGAACAAATTATTGGTTTTTGTTTTTTCTCTCTAATAGAGAAAATACGGCGTTGTTCTAGATGAAATTAAAGCCAATGCCAGTCCCGAGCTCCAAGCAGTGCGCATGTTTGCAGAATATCTCTCAAATGAGAGTCAAAGGTAAGTCTGATAACAAGGCGGAAGTGAAACCTTGTCTGGCATAAAATATGTTTGTATGTGGAAAGCTTCATGTAGCCTGATCTTTTTTGGGGGCAGGTTTGTCTGTGGTTTTGTAGTCAATCTCAGAAAGGCAGAATTCTGGAGGACCAGGATCTTTTAAAGAAATGTTTCTGTGCTTTTGTCTGTGCTCCTGCAGGGATGCAATTGTTGCTGATTTGGACAAGAAAATGGCAAAAAGCGTTGATGTAGCGAATACGACTTTCTTGCTGATGGCTGCTTCCATCTATTTCCACGACAAAAACCCTGATGCAGCTCTGCGTACCCTCCATCAAGGGGAAAGCTTGGAATGGTGAGTGTAACTCCATCCCTCATCACTGAGGCGTGTGCTAGCAAAGCTCTTCTTTCTAGAGAGAGTTATAATAGAAGCCTCTATCTAGAAGGGCTGGCTTCTCTCTAAAAAGCTTTAAAGCCATTGAGAAACAGATGCAAGCTTTGCTTTCCAAGTAGTAAGTGATTTGGAGCACGATATGAAGTCTTATTGCTCCCTTGTGGAACTTAAGAATCTGGTTTATCGATTTGTGAGCATTCTGTACTGTTGAAGCGACTCCCGTGGCACGGGCAGCGTGTTTCTGAGAGGCAGAAAGGTTCCTGCACAAAGAGCAGGGAGGGGTGAAGCATGCCACTGAGACAAGCACTTTGCTCTTCTTGGTTGCAGCATGGCGATGATGATCCAAATTCTTCTGAAGCTTGACAGGCTTGACCTGGCTCGGTGAGTTTGTGTTCTTTTGTTTCTGAATTGTTTTCTTGCAGGGCGGGCTTTGATAAGAGAATGTACTTCTCCCAGCCTCCGCCACGGTGCAGCAGAACACCTGCAATGGACAGTAAAACTTGCGTGTAGGTGTGCTGCAGATGGTTCTTGTTCTTTAAGGTGCAACAGCTTTGGAGATAACGTAGCTGGGTACAGTTAAAGAGGTGAAACTCGGGGTTTAACCTCACCTATAGCAGAACGTGGTTTGAATCTCTAGGCCTGGGTTATGTCCTTAAGGAAATAAAAGAGGCCTTTCACAGATTGCTTCAGTGAAATGTTTGTGCCTCGCTACCAATTTACTGTGACTGTTGTGCCATTGGGGTGGAAGACCTAAAGAGAGGAGCCTACAGCTTTTTGTTTGAATCTTAAAGAACCACGGAAGATGCCTTGTCTTTCTGTTATGACACTCCCAGTTTTGTACCTGCAGCAAGGAACTGAAGAAGATGCAGGAGCAAGATGAGGACGCGACCCTTACTCAGCTGGCTACTGCCTGGGTGAACCTGGCTATCGTGAGTATCTTCCACGGGGATCCTTAGCCTACAATACCTGAGAAAGCACTGGTACAAGACTCCCTGCTTTGTTCCCGATTCCTGCTTTCTTATGCCATCAGAAAAACATTCAGTTTGATTTTTTTTCTTCCTTCACGTAGCTATTTTGATGGGTTTTTCATCTGTGCTGCTTGGCTTTCAGCGCACGCAGGGAAGAGCTAAACCATGCTCGGATAACTCAGAAAGCACCACATAAAATGGAACACTGCAGCGTGACTTGCATCCAGACCTTGCAAACAGGCAGAGAACTACCTTTTTTTTTCCTATAACTGTCTTTAAGCATGTCTGTGGTCCCACAAATAACAGGACAGTACAAGCTGAACTCGATTCCAATGCAGTGAGCGTGGTAGAACGAGCTGCCATAGCTCCCCGTTTGTCTTCAGTTGTGGTTTTATTTTCTGAGCACAGATGTTTGGCACTTCTCACCCGTAGTTCTTCATCTGCCCTCCCATGTAAGGAAACTTGTCTCTGCAGAGCTAGAAACTGGCTTTTCACCTTGTTATCATTCCACATTAAATCTTACAGTGCCTGCCCCGGCTGGCAAAAAACTTTATTATTATGAAATATTTCAAATAATCAGCCAAAAATGTGTATTCTCTGGCAGTCCAGATGTCAGGTGTCTGAAACTAAGCAGTCTCCTAAAATTCAGTAAAGCCCCAGGGTGTTTAATAATACTGGTAAGACTTTTTTATTGTTCACTTAGTCTTGTTATGAAATCTTTTGCACATAGCTGTTGCCTTACACCTTGTGTGTGGCTAAATTATCCCTAAGATCTTATTTTCCTCTAGGGAAACTCTTACCTCTAATCAATGGAAGCTGCTGCATCTATATAGAACCCTTCTGAAGCTGGAAGTTTTTGAAAAGCCAGGTGTCTGTACCTGGGTTTAATTATAAAATCTCATTTCATAATCCTTTATTACATCAGGCATCTGAAGTGGTTCTTCAGAAGTGTCATTTCTTTTTCTTTGAATGGAAACCTGGATCTTTTGATCATTTAAGTGGTTCTTAACATTTAATATTTTTGCATTTCTTTCATCTGTACTCTTACGGCGATCTGTTGTGTTAGAGGAGATGATGGGAATGCCAACAGCTGCTGGTGTTGGTTCTTAAGCATTTAATTTCATAACCCTTCAAACTTTGTGGCCTTCAACGACGGCAAGTTCATGCAGCCTTTTTAGCAATACGTCGTGAAACTGTGCTTGTTTGTTTCCTCCCTCTGCAGGGCGGTGAGAAGTTACAAGATGCCTACTACATCTTCCAAGAGATGGCAGATAAATGCTCCCCAACCCTCCTCCTGCTTAACGGACAGGCAGCCTGCTACATGGCTCAGGGCAAGTGGGATGATGCAGAGGGAGTGCTTCAGGAGGCCTTGGACAAGGTACAGCATGCTTTGGCCAGGCAGATCAGCTTGAATCCAAATACCTCTTGCTCACACGGAGTAAAACAGCAAGGAACATTGCCATTATGCTTCATGAAAATGCCACTAAGTGGTTGCTTTAAATACCTACCTTTTCTTCTACTTTACCTCTTCCAATGAAGTAAACTATGGGTTTGGCAGAAGTTGTTCTTGCAGAGCTGTGTTGGTTGTTACAGTCTCTCATGGTAGAGGTAAGTCACAAAGATCAGGTGATTGTTTTTATTTTCAGGACAGCAGCCATCCTGAAACCTTGATCAACTTTGTTGTCCTGTCACAGCACTTGGGCAAACCACCTGAGGTGAGGCTGATTTTATTGTACTTGGCGAGCAAATCCGCCTGTTCTGCTGGGGTGGGTTTTATGTTCCTGGTGTGCGTGGTAACTTTTGGGTTCTGCAATTTTGTGTGTTCTCACTGGAATTGGTATGAACAAAATAGAATAGTCTGGAGGCACGAGGGACGTGGATCTTCAATATTCAGTGAAGTGGTTGCAGAAATCCAGCTGTTGCAGACAATGGTCTATACTTGAAAGGAAGGCTTGGGTGGAAAAAGAAATCTCCTGAGTTCTGGGCTTGCTTTTCACTGACTTGTGGTTCTTTTTGGAGTTCTTTTCTCCTTTGAACTCTGCTTAAGGTCTAAGTGTAGAATATGCACTGGTGTTACTGGTTTTAATACCGGTTTTAACTGGGACTGTGAACATTCAGGATGATGAAAAAGTCAGGTTTTTATTCACTGAGAACAAAGTCGTTGAAGCGTTGTGTTTTAACCTCTTGGCTTGTCCTTATGCTGTCTGAATGTTAAAATTTCCCCATTTTGTTCCATCAGGTCACAAACCGCTACTTGTCACAGCTGAAAGATGCACATAAAAATCACCCGTTCATAAAAGAGTATCAAGCAAAGGTACTGATAACTTCCTAATATAAACTTGGTAACATCTGGGAAGATCAGCTTTGAGGTACAGGTTCTTAATCTGGGTTAGAAGTTTGTTAGCATCAGATGTTACACAGAGGAACAAGCCTTCTGGAAGAGAGGGAAGTTGGGGGGTGAGGCAAGAAGGATAATCGGGAAGGGAAAATGAAACAAACTGGAAAAAATTGATAACTCTGGTCTAGGTGACCTGCTTTTTAAAATTCTTTTTGCCTTAGTAAACTGCTATCGTAGTGTTTTCTTCAGCTCAGAGGCAACACAACTGATACTAAATTTTCAGCAAAGTTCAAGCAGTGTTCATTTTATTCTGCTTCTGTTTTGAAGGAGAACGACTTTGACCGACTAGCCATGCAGTATGCACCCAGTGCATGAGGAGAGGGGAAGGAGCCTGCGAACCTGCTCTGTGGTACCTGGGAAGTGGGGTTGATACACAAAGCCTTTCTGGTAACATGGAAAAATGCCCTCTGCATCTTGGTCTGGCTTAACTCAGCACGGCAGGGTCTTGCAACCCAGCAAGCCGTTGCTGAAGTTGTATATAACACGTAGCTGCTCAAATTTGGTAGCTGAGAAGCCCGTGTTCTGGCTTACTCAGTTCCTGAGCTGTTTAAAATACAGTGCAAATCCAGAGTTGCAACACTGTACCTTAAACATTCCTAATAAAGCCTTTTCTGGATCTGTGCACCCCCTACTTCACATTCTGGAATGCCAGTAATTCCAGGAACTGAGCCCTGTTGTAGGTACTGAGGATTTACTTATGGGAAGACTGTCAAGGTTTGTTTTAAGCATCCACCTTCAGCACATGGGCAAACCCCGAGTTACGGCTGTTCGTCCACTCTGACTGATGATTCCTCCATTTAGGTCAGCATCCTCTGGAAGAAGGACGCCGAGCTGTAGGGTTTACTGCTGGTGAGAGGGAAAGCTACCCCAAAATAGAAATAATCCAATTGTAATAAGCTCAGCCCTGACCTTAAGTTGGTAAAATGCAGTAGCTCGTGTCCTGGAGCCAGGAAAGCATTAGATCTTCCTTTAACATAGCACATCCTGCAGTACATGTGAAAGTGTCCCCAGTCATTCTTAAAAATGTGATGGCTGCTCCACCTGACATGTCATGGAACATTCCAGATTCAACACCACGCGATTGTGCTTCTGTAGCCTTGGACTCCTGCGTAGCCTTTCAGTGCCCTGCGTGCTGACTGATTGTGTTCTGTCAGATGTGAAGAGCAGATGTCCAAGTGGAACCCTCAGCTGGGACCTCATGAGCTCTAATATTTGAATTATCTTTTGGAAAGTGCTTGGGGAGGGGGAGAAGAGGTTTATACTACACTGTAAATGTGTCTAACTGGCGTTTCCTTTGTGCCCACCTCGGCCTTGGTTGCTCTGAAAGGGCTCATTGTCTCTTCCCTTGGCTTGTTTAGCGAGCAGCTCTTTTCAATGAGGGGTTATTCATGGTCCAGTCTTGAATGAATGTTTCCTTTGTGGAGCTGTCTGAGGGAGATGTGAAAGGGGCTTGTGTGCTCAGGGCAGCCATTACCCACTTGATGGGCCATGATAAATTGACTTAAAAATGTAAACAATAAAAGCAAGTGGCATAGTAGGAGCCAGCGCTGTCAGTGTGAGAATAGGGGAACATGTTGTTCAGCCTTCTGAGAGGGATGAATTTGTGTTTTCTCATAGCTGTCCCAGACCAATTAGAGAAGTTCAAGAAAGCTTGAAAGTGAAATGACTCTCCCAGAATGGCTGTGGGCAGAGCAATGACTTCAAATGGCATAAAGCTCATATTTGTCTTCAAGTTAGAATTCCTCAGCTGAGTTTTCTATTTATAAGTGATTATTTTTTCTCTCTCTAGTAGTAAGGATCCCCCAGCTGCAGTCTAGCTGGTCATTTAGGTGCATTAGGGCACTGCTTACCCTTCCTGGCTCACACTGAACGTGGCCGTGCTGTTCTAGAGCCTTTGCTCTGCGGTTCCTGTGGTGCCTCAGCAGGAGAGAACATAAGTGTCAGCATTTCAGGAGGATTTTCACCTTAAACTTGCACTTCTGAGCAATCCAAAGGGTTGACTGTCTGTTCATAACTGTCACTGCACTGCTTTTAAACATACAGATAAGGAAACTCCTCTTCTGTGAACCAGTAACTTGTGCATGCAAGCTGCCTGCCGTTTGGGGGAGGTCTTCAAGAAGGTCTGTCGTGGGGGGGTGACCTTTTTTGGACAAGTTTGCATTTCTTCAGGTGCATCTCGTTATCCCAGAGCCTTCTACTACAGCAGGTGCAGAAGTTTGGTGACGGTGTGGTGGAAACACCTGCTGGCTTTGCACTGCAGTACTTTGTTGACCTCTGTAAGGAAAGGATAAGTCTTCCTGCTGCTTTTGGGGAGACCTATAGAAAAGAGAGAGGGGCTGGAGAAGTGGGGAAAAAAAGCCCTTAAGGAGCAAACATTCAGGATTTTGAACATGGAGGACTCCAGAAGCCTGTTGCTGGACATTTCTGAGGCACTGTGGGTAACTTCCAGCTCCCCCAGGGGGTGTACCATGGCACACACAGCTGTTTTCCACTGTCATGTCATTAATTGTCATCTTCGGACACTGAAATACCACCATTTGTCCCCAGATCTCACACTTGGAGCGACTCCAGCCCATTGTCACGGCTCATCCTTCAAGCGTCTTGCTTTTTTTGTGCAAGAAATTCCCCCATCACCTCCTTCAGCGCGTCTCGGGGCTGCTTCCCAGGCCCTTAATGAACCAGAGCTCCTCTCCTCCATGCTAATTACCACCCCCCTAACGCCTGGGGCTCCTCTCCGTGCTAATTACCACCCCCCCCTAATAACCCAGGGCTCCTCTCCGGCCCCACCAGCGGCTCCTCCCGCAGCAGCCGGGCACCGCAACCCCCCCCCCGGGGGGCTGGAAGAAACGAGCAGATCCCGGAGGAGGGGGCTGAGCCTTGCATTGGGGGCGGCTCCTACAGCCCGGTACCGGCGGTGGCGGAGCGGGGGGGGGCAGTCCCCGACTCCCGGAGCTTGCGCGGTGCCTCTGGGCACCGCTGGGCACGGCGGGGCCATGGGCAAGCAGCGTTGAGCGCCATGCAGCAAACGGAGCCGGTGGCCGAGCCGGTGGCCGAGCCTATGCCCGGTTACGGGCAGCTGCTCCGGCTCGGTTATGGCAGCCTGGCCGCAGCCGTGAGGAGCTGCAACGATTGCGGCTGGGAGCTGGCGAGGACGACGTGGGCCGAGAACGCGCACCTGGGCTGGGGCGAGGTGCTGCTCTGCGGGCTCGCTGCCCTCGGCTGGACCGCGCTGCGCCGCGCTGCCGCCCGCCGCCTCTTTCGGGTCGGTCCCTGGGGCGAGGGGTGATGGGGGGGGGGCACCGGGGAAAAAGGGAGGAGGAGAGGGGATGGGGAGGGCACCGGGAAGAGCTGGGGGGATGAAGGAGGGTGGTGGGGGGATCGGTTGGCTTCATCTGGGGTTGCATCCTTGGGGGGTGCATGTTTGGGGAGCTCCCGGCCTGGGTTAAATGCTGGGGGTCTGTTGTATGGGGAGTTTATTCTCAGCCTGGGATTCAGTCCTGGGTTCTCTCACTTGGGGAGCTCGTCCTCCCACCCTAGGGTTAAATCTTGGGGGTCCGTTGCATGGGGTGCTTGTCCTCCCAGCCCGGGTTAAATCCTGGGGCCCCTTGCGTATAGATCTCATCTCACCCTGGGGTTAAATTCTGGGGGTCTGTTGCGTGGGGATTTCATATTCCCACCCTAGGGTTAAATCCCAGGGGTTTATTGCATGGGGAGCTCATCCTCACACCCTGTGGTTAAAACAGGGGGGGGTCCATTGCACGGGAAGGTCGTCCTCCTGCCCCAGGATGAAATCCTCGGGGTCCGTTGCATGGGGAGTTTATTCTCCCACCCTGGGATTAAATCCCAGGTCCCCTTGCTCGGGGAGCTTGTCCTCCCACCCCAGGGTTAAATCCTGGGGATCTATTGCATGGGGAGCTCATCCTCCCACCCTGGGGTTAAATCCTAGGGGACCCTTTGCACAGGGAGCTCGACCCCCTTCATTTAGGGCTGCCTCCCGGGAGGCTCTCTGTATGGGAAACCTCATCCTCTGTCCCCTGGGGCCGTACGCTGTGTGGGGGCTGATTCACGAGAGGTTTCACCCCCGTTTTCCCCTATGCTCTGGACCAAGCACCCTCTGCATGGGAGAGCTCTCCCTGTTCCCCAAATAGCGGGGTTGGGGAGGATTTGGGGGTTATTTCTCACACGCAGCCAGGCCGCACCGGCTGTGCACGGGGGGAAGGAGGGGGCCACGTTCCTGCGTGTCATCTGCGGTTCGCATGAAAAATGTCCTTCCCCGCTTTCCCTCCCGGCGCGACGGCGGCGAGGATGGCGTGGGGATGGCTGTGCTGCAGTGCCGGGCTGACCTTCAAGCATGGGGGATGCAGGGATGCCTGCAGCCAGCCCTCGCAGCCTCCAAACGGGGTCTGCTGGCTGTTGTCCCCCCTGTTAATACAGCACTGTGTAAGGGACGGAGCGAGCAGGATGTCCCTGAGGGCGAGGAGTAGCCCTCTGTAATTTTTTGCTGTGAAAAGCGTCCTTAATGAACCGAGACCTCCCCTTTCCCTCCGATGGCTCGGTCCCAGCAGAGGTGATTTCTTCCACGCTGCCTTCTGAGAGATGTGCTGTGCATGCTGCTGGCCATTCCTCCGGCCTGGGGAGGAATTAAAAGCCGAAGTAATGCAGGTGCCGTGCTCTGCAGCTCGTTACTGCGAGGTGATGGAGCACAGGCTGCCCAGAGGGCTTGTGGAGTCTCCTTCTCTGGAGAGCTTCAAACCTGCACATATAAAATCCTGTACAACGTGCTCTGGGTGACCCTGCTTCACCAGATGATATATGGAGGTCCCTTCCAACCTCGTCCATTCTGTGATTTGGGGATTTTGGTGCAAGTCCCCAGCCCTCAAGAGACGCAGCCCCAGCCGTCCCCTCACCGCCCCATGAGCATGGTGGCACATGGCCCTGAGGGAGCTCCTCAGGCACGCATCTTTGTGTCTACATGAGCTGGGCCTGGTTCCCTGGGGAAATCCCTTCCTTCAGAGGCTGTTTCACAGATGACAGGGTGCAAGGTGGCTTTCTTCGATTAGAATATCAAGAGTTAGAGCTTTCCTCTCTGCCCTGTGTGCCACTGAGGCCTGCTGCTGAGGCCTGCCTCTCAAGCAGCTCTGCATCCACCGCTCTGAGTTGCCTTTGCTTGCTGGTAACGTGAGGTGAAGTTTCACCTCCTGCAAAGCTCCAGTCCCAGTCTGGAGCCATTTGAAGCTGTTGAAGTGGTTTGTAGGCGAGGTGTGAGGTAAAACGTGCTGGCCTTTGACGTGGGGCTGAGTTTCACCTCGTTGCCTGCACCCCCGTCTGCATGGGGCTGCTGCTGGGCTGCGCGCCGTGCCTGGGACCGCTGGGGTGAAGGAGGCTGGAGGTACCCCTGGGTCTGTCGTAATAAACTTGGAGGCATTTCCTTCATGCTCCAGTCCCTCCTTGTGTCAGGTTTACCTTTACAGAGCGAGAAGTAAGCTGAGTGTGAAAAAACCCCTCAGGAGCCCGCTCGGTGCCCTTGGCGGACACTTGGCAGCAGGCGCCGTGCTGAGGTGTTGTCCCTCGGAGAAATGGGTCGCGGCTGTAATTGCAGAAGGGCCAGCAGGGCTGAGCAGAGCTGGTTCTTGTGGCTACACCTGCGTGCTGCAGGGATGAGATGCCGAGCGAGCGTGCGATACCATCAGTTTCCTCCCAGCAGCCTAGGTGGAGGGGCAGCAGCAGGGAGAGACGGCTCCGTGTGTGTATGTATTTAGTTATTGACTTGCAGCTTTTCTCTCAGATTTGCTATGGGAAAAGCTGGAGGTGGTTGTGGCTTTTCTCTTAAAACCTCTGGCAGTTTTTAAGGGATTGGTTTGTATTGCGTGGCCCCTGTACAGGCAGCAGTGCAGTGGGTCATTCGGCAGCAGAGCAAACGGCTTCATCTCTGAGGGAAGGGAAAAGCTGGGAAGAGAAAGTAAAACCTTCTTGTTCAAGCCTGGGAGGGAACTTTTATGATCAGGGCCCTTTGCTTCCCGGTGGAGGCTCAATGAGCATCCCTCCTCCTTTTGAGTCTCCTCACGTTCCCTGCAAGAACTGAAGCACGGTTATAAAACCGAGCCCGCTCAGCGTCCGGAGAACGCAGCCTTCCTGCACGTTATTTATAAAGGACAGATCTCGCTGCCTGGATCGTGATTCTCGGCCTCCGAAGAGGAAGTGACTCTCACCACAAGACCTTGAAGCGTAAAGTGCACCGTGCTCAGCTCTGGCTGCGAGCACTCCTCTGCGCAACGCGTGCCTCGGAGCCCTGTACCTCTTCCTGTGCTGTCTGTGGTGCCCTAATTTATTTTTATCAGTGGGAACGAAAGGACAGCGGCTGGGCTCCTCGCTCTCATATCGGACCGCAGCTCCGTTTAACCTCCGCCACAAAATCGCATCACCGTTGAGTTGAAGGAGTGGTAAAGGTCGTTCGTGTCACTGGGGGTGTTGGTTAGGATTTGAGAGCGTGTCCTTTTCACCTGTTAAAACTGCTCGGTCTGTGTCTTGCCTTAGACGTGGTTTTCCCGTCATCCTTTGAGCAAAGACAGCTTTTGGCCTGTTGCCTCTTTTTCACAGAATCTTTGCTGGCTGCAAATATGGAAAGGAGTTGTTTTGGTGTAGGAAAGATCCTAAGGAGCTGAGCAAATGCGAATCACCAGATAGGGAGGAGCCCTGCAGTCAGCTGTGATGGGGGCACGGGCATCCTCACAAAGGGCTGAGAGACGTTTCCTTCCCCTCTGAGCTCTGCCCTGGGAGTCCCGTGGGCTTCTGAGAGCACAAACCTGGATAATACTCAGAGCACATCTTGCTGGAGCTGCCGATCACTTCCACATATGAAGACCAAGCCAGGCCCAAGTAGATGTTCCCTCCTCCTGAAGTTTCCTCGGTTTGTGCCTTGTCCTGCCCTGGTTGGTGGCTCAGCTCCGTCAGCTGCTGAAAGCCGCTGTCCTTGGCGTGTTCCCTGAGGAGTTGGGTTAAAAGAGACAACCTGAGCATCTCTGCGTCCCCTCCTGCAGGGCAGCTGAGCCGAGCAGTGCTCCCTGCTGCTGGGATTTGAAGCCCCCATGTCAGATAATCTGTCAGCAGTGAGCAAAATCTGCTCTGAATCAGTTCCCATTCTCTGAATTTGGTGACTGCCACATAGCCCCTCTGTCCTCCACGGCTGCCTGCCTTTTTTCTGCATCGGGTAAATATTTTCCATTTTTGGCCCAGACACCAGCCAGCTTGCTGGCTTAGCGGTGGTGAAATTTGGAGGACGTTGCGGCGTCCTCTGCAAGGAAAAGCATTGTGTGAATTGGAGAATGGCCCTGGGAAACGGGGTTTCTAGGTAAGTGATACAGCCTAGTCCCGGGAAGGATGCGACAGCTGAAAAGCAGCGCTCTGTTATCCCACCCAGTGATTTATGTAACTTTTCTCTATCCTATGCTATTGTCAACTCTTTTTTCCAAACCCCAGAAGTGGGCATGTGAGTAGAGGAGAATTCTCCCCCCCCAAAACCCACCACCCACAGCAAGCTCTGCTGCAAGATGAGGACATGTCCTGCACCCCCGGGGAAGGGCAGCCTGCCCGACAGCTCCCCAGCTCGCCCCACTGCGCTCTGCCCGGTGTTTGAAGCACGAGCCCTGCAAGCTCAAGGGGAGGAAGCCACAACAATGGCTCTTTTCTTCGCCCAGGGACTGAAGCCGCGCTGCTGCGGCGTCTCGGAGCGGGGGCCGCTTCCCCCGTGCTGCTGTGTCAGCGTGCAGCCATGGGGAGGTTTGTCAGCCCCCGCAGCACCCTCTTGGCAGCTGTGGCAGGTCTCGCCGAGCTCTGCTGCTGCTTTGCTCTCCGAGGGGTGAATTTTACTGCTTGCAGGGGAACCGAGGGAGAAGTGCTGTCCGTTGGCTTGTTGCAGTTCTCCTGGTGCATTTTATTACGTGTTTATCCGGGAGGCATTGTCCCGAGGGTGGAGAAACTGAGGCACTGAGAGCTTCAGTGCCCAGTGTAACGGAGCAATAAGAGCTGGGGGGTGACAGCCCTTGGGCCCAGAGCCTTCAAGAGGTTCATTTCTTTAGATTTAGCGAGTGGTGATGTTTTCCTGGGCCTTCTGCAGGCTCCGTGCCCCATCCCCAGTGTGGCTGGGGGTGGCAGCAGGTCTGGGAGCAGCAACCAGGTTGGTGTGGAGGGGATACGGTCTTTGGGGTCCACCACACCTCTAAGAACCACCACGGAAGGGGCTGTAGCTGGTGGCCCTGGGCAGGTTTTGAATCCGAGCTGTGCTCGCTCGTCATTATCATCTGCATTGAGGAGAGGCTGATGTAGAGCTGCCAGCTCCCTGGGCTGAGGATGCTGCGTGCCAGCCGTTCCTTTGTGTCCCCTTGGGAAACTGGCAGTGCCCAGAAAGCAGACGCAGCGCGGCTGGGATCTGGCCAGGTCCTCGTCTCGAGGCTGGGGAGGGGGCAGAGGCGATGGGAGCAGCCTGGGGATCCGCTCCCTCCGCAACAAGCTTCGATTCATAGCCCATCGCTGCGAGCCTGCCAGCTTGCTGGCAGGGCTCCTGCCCCGCCGTGAGAGCTGCTTGTGGATTTAAGGGGATGCTCAGCTTTCCCCTAGTGCCTCGGGCTGCGAAAAGGAAGCCAGCACGTGTTTGCTTTTTGCAGGATTTATTATTTTTTTTTTTTTATTTGACACTTCAGCAGTGCTGCAGGCAGCGCCGGTTTCGATTCGGTTTCTCTTTCCAGCTCCCGCAGGTCGTGAGAGGTGGTGCAGAGGGGGCGGCCACGGCCCCCAGCCCCGCTCCCAGTTCTCCACCAGCGCCTTCTGATTCACCTGCAGGGGGTTTGCGTGGGGGTCAGGGCGAGGAGGGGAGAAGGAGAGCTTTTCCGTGAAGCCCCATCATCGCTTGCCAAGAGCTCCGGGCTCTTCCAGCTCCGCTCTTCCCACCGCAGCGCCGTCACCCGTGGCAACAAGCATCCCTCCCTGCAGCATTGCCATGGGAACGGCAGCAGGAAGCATCTCCCACCCCGAGCATCTCCCACCCCAGGGACGGGGCTTTTTTTTCCCCCAGGTTTTGGTGGCACCTCCCTGCGGGCAGCCCCTTGTCCCCCTGCTGCAGGTCTGGGGGATGTTTCTCTCTGACTTTCCCTAGGGTGGGGAGCTCCACAGAGCCAGCTCCGGGTTTGCTGCCCTGCTGCAATCCCTGCCAACAGCCCCAGCATCCATAAAATGCAGCTTGGCTTGGTGGCGTGTTCCAGCCCCACAGGTGACGGTCCTTTTCTAAGCTCTGCCCACCTTGGGGTAGGAAATGCAGTGTCCTTCCCTCTTGGCGGGGGGGAACTGAGATGCAGAGAAGCAGCTGAATGACTTGGCTCTGGTTTTGAGGCTGGGACTTAGTTTGATGCATCCTAAACCGAGCCCAGCATCCTAAATCCAGCCCCAGCTGAAGAGGCCAGGAGGAGCAGGGGGCTCCCCAGCTCGCTGCCATCGCAGCGCCTTGAGCTGTCCCCACAGCCAAGCCGCTTCCGTGCTCCACTTTATGGAGACACAAATAATTCATGCTTTCAGGGCTCGGGACTTTCTGTCTCTGCATTATTCATTCACCCTTCGAGCTTCCTTCTCTTTTTCCTGCCGTGGCTCCTGGTGGAAGAAGCCCTGGCAGCGGCGCGCTCCCGGTCTCACCGTGAGAGCCGTGCTCTGCGTGCCAGCTGCCAGGGGGAGGCCGGAGCTGCCCCTCTGGAGCTGGAGGGGATGTGGGCAGCTTGGCAGAGCGCTGCGGGGCCGGAGCTTCCAGGTCTGAATTTCCCAGCGCTGGTCAGAGCCTAGAACAAAACCCTTTTGGGCTGGGAGCCGGGAGCTTTGAAAAACCTGACACAGAGAGGGGCTAAAAGCCAGGCCGGCCTCTGCCTGGGGACAGCTGGAGCCTTAATATAGCCTTTGAGCATCGAGGAGCCGAGCACTGGCTGCAGAAAGTGCTGACCTGGGGCAGGCTATGGTTACTTTGCAAGCAGTTTGTTTTCAGCTCCAACTTATCTGGTCCCTCCCGCCCGAGCTCTCACCCCGGGGGCCTTGGGGTGTTATCAGCAGCGGCGATCCCCACAGGACCTTGAGCGAGGCTCCCCGCTGCTGGCCGCTCTGCCGGGGCTGACAGGGCTCTGTCAGTCCGGTGATGAGAAGCAGAAACGGTGCCTGGTGTTGCTCACTTGCCACGGAGAGGGGACGTCAGTGCCCAGAGCTGGGGCTGAGCTTGGGGTGCACTCAACGAGCGGCATCGCTCATGCCTCCTGCAGCAGGCACCCCGTTTGGGATGCAGGGCAGCGTTTGCTGCTCCCTTTAGCTCCGAGAGAGCTGATGCTGTGGTGATGCAAAACACGCTGGGGTTTTGCTTTTGCTGTCGCTGACCTCGTGGCCCAGCTCTCGCTGTTGCAGGGAGCCGCGTGGTGCTCGTGGTCGGAGTGAGAAAGTTTCATTCTTAATAGCGCCAGCAGGCTGCTCGTCCTCCCGTTTGTCTCTTTGGCCATATTTGGGGAGGCTTCGCCTCCTCTTCCTGAGCCCTGGCTGGTAGGAGGGGTGCTGCAAACCCTGGGGAGAAAAAAAAACAGCAGGCTTGCAGTGCTGGTCAGCCAGGAGAGCTGCCAGGGATGAGCGTGGGTAGGTGTGAGCGAGCAAGAGGTGCCCCAACCCTCACTGCCTTTAAAATCGGCCTCCTCTGGTGCTGGTTGACCATGGAGAGGGGTCCTGTGCCGTGCTGGGAAACAGCAGCAGGAGCCGTGTGTTTGGTTCTCTGCAAAAAGAGCTCACCCAAAGTGCTTCCTCGCTTGAAAGCTTCTTTTCTGGTAGTTGGTGGTGCCACAAAGTCCATGCGCATGGGGCGGCATCGTTACAGCCTCCTCCTCTGGGCTTCCTGATGCAGATGGGGCTCGGCCTGATTGGGTTTGGTATTGATTCGGTTCTCCAAAAGCCAGCTGTGCTCCTGGAGCAAGGGTGGTGGAGCGGTGCCCAGGCTGGGATGCGTGCTGGGGGCTTCCTCCTCTGCCAGGCTCTGCTTTCGCAGCTTCCCCGCGCGGCCAAGGCTGAGCGAGCGGCTCTCTGGCCTTGCCATTCTCCCTGCGGACTCTTCCTAGAGCCTCTTCACCCTCCTTACTCACGCTGCAAAAAAAAAAAAGCCAGAAAAAACGGGGCTCGTGTCCCTGGTTTTGCCCTGTCTGGTGGTGGAGCCTTGGGGGTTCCCTGAGTTCTGCCTTGGGCTCGCTGGGGTCCCTCTGCCCTGCATGACGACACTTCTCCCCTCTCCTTGCAGCCCTTCGGTGAGTGGTGCAACTTGCAGCCCAAAGATGCTGCCAAGATGCCCGAGAGTGCCTGGAAGCTGCTTTTCTACACGTTATCCTGGTCGTATGGCACCTACCTGCTCTTCTTCACTGACTACCCCTTCTTCTATGACCCTCCGTCTGTCTTTTATGGTACAGTAAGAAGCAGGGAGAAGCGGGTTTGGATGAGGATGTCCAGGCTGTAGGATAGCCGAGCTGAGTGAGGGAATTGGAATTGGTGGGAGCAAAATTCTCCGACTGAACCCCCCCCCAAATGGCCTTTTCCATGATGCTGCGAGTGCAGAAAGGGCACAAGAGGCTCCCTCCGTTCCTTACAGAGAGTGTCACCTAGTGGCTACTGCAGACAGCAGGGACTGGGATGCCTGCGGCTACGGAGGGGAAAGGATTTGAGCAGTTAAATGAGGAGGGAAGTAAATCAAGGCTTCTGCCCTCAGTCTCGGAGGGGAGCGGGTCATCCTGGGACCAGGATACCCGGGTCCTCCTCCAGCCTTTGCCCCTTTTCCACCAGGGAGGTCCCGAATGGGAGCTGAGGCCACCTGGGGCAGCTCTGGCTGCTGCTTGCTTTTTGCTCTCTGCTCTCCTGTCTCTCTGTGGCTGACGAAGGCTCCATGCTCTCAGCTCTGGGCTCACCCGGCCGTCTTTGTCCCGCTTCAGGCTGGAAGAAGGGCATGGACGTGCCCACGGACATCGCCATCGCCTACCTGTTGCAGTGCAGCTTCTACGGGCACTCCATCTACGCCACCGTCTACATGGACACGTGGCGCAAGGACTCGGTGGTCATGCTCCTCCACCACGTCGTCACGCTGACCCTCATCGCCTTCTCCTACGCGTTCAGGTGAGGGATGTGGCTGTGACACCGTCCCCCTGCGCTGAACCAGCGCAGCCACGCAGCCTAGGCCGTGGTTTTTCCATGTGTCTATGTCCCAGGAGGACTCTTTCTGGGTCAGGAAGGATTTTTCCCTCCCTACTGCTAACCCTGGCTCCGTGCTCCTCCTCGTGAGCCACCACACGGTGCCATAGGATTCAGCCTGGGTTATTCTGGTGCGATGGGTGGTGTGCGGTGGGTGCCAACACCGACTCACTGCCCCCACGTCTCCCTCCCTGCCCCACTCTGCCGCAGGTACCACAACGTGGGCATCCTGGTGCTCTTCCTGCACGACGTCAATGACGTCCAGCTGGAGTTCACCAAGCTCAACGTCTACTTCAAGCACCGGGGGGGTGTCTACCATCGCCTCAACGATGTCATCTCCAACGTCGGCTGCCTCACCTTCAGCATCAGCTGGTGAGTTTGCCTGCCTGCCCAGCCCTGATCCCGCTTCCAGCCGTGTCCCCACCAGCTTTTGCAGCCCCCCTGGTGCCGCAGGGCACAGCCCTGCTGGGTGTGAGTGCCTGGAAACCAGCCGATCCTATAAACTGTTTGGGAAGAGGTTCCCGCAGAGCCTGACCCCATGCTGGGCTTGGAATCCTTCTGTAGTCACTTTGCCGTCTGTCACCACCCAAGTGCCTGTGAAATCTCGCTTGCAGCATGACAAATGACCCCAGGGGAGGAGGAGCTGTTTCCATTTTCCCACTCCTTTGGTTTTAGCAGCAAGAAGCGTTTTTGCAAGGAGCAAATGTCCCAGATTCCAGGCTCGCTGCTCCTCCTGGGGAAAAGCAAGAGAGGAGGATGAAGAACGGGGATGAGTAAGGCAGGTTGTCACTGCTGATGTGTCCCTTTGTCTCCCTCCTCCTCCCCGCAGCTGCTCGGGAAAGCAGGGGCGGCAGCAGGAGCTGTCGATGTGAGGGGGAGGAGAGCGAGGAAGATTTTAGTGATAAAACCGGGATGCACAGGTCTAAGAAATCCTTCCAGTTTTATTCCCCTCCTGTCCCCCATCCAGCTGAGAAAATCTGCCTCTACCCTGAGAGGCTGATCTCCTCTGGTGCCCAGCCTTTTCTGCCCGTGGTAGCAGTGCTCTCCCTTCTGTACCTGCCTATTTGGGGGGCTGTGTGAATCCCTGTCCAGAACCAGGCCTTTAAACCCAAATCAGATCCAGACGGAAGGGAGGCTGTGGCTGGAAGAAGCTGCCTGGGGTCCCCGTGGGCCATTAACCCCCCTCTGCTGCTCCCTCTGCCCCACCAGGTTCTGGTTCCGTCTCTACTGGTTCCCCCTCAAGGTCCTCTACGCCACTTGCCACTCCAGCCTGCAGACGGTGCCCAACATTCCCTTCTACTTCTTCTTCAACGCTCTGCTCCTTGTGCTCACCCTGATGAACATCTACTGGTTCCTGGTGAGTCGGGGGAGCTCGGCGACCCTCCGCTGGCTTCTCCCACCTCAGCTGCAGCTGCGTAACGCCGGCTGCCTGCCCTGCCCGGGGTATTTGGGGGGCTGCAGGGCTGGAAAAGCACAGGGATTTGGTGGGACAGTTGCACCCCGTGTGTCCTGGCTGACGGTGTCTCTCCCTCCACAGTACATCGTCCTCTTCGTGGCCAAGGTGCTGATGGGGCAGATGCAGGAGGTGAACGACGTGCGCGAGTACGACGTGGAGGACAGCAAGAAAACCGCCGTGGCTAAGAAGAAGGAGGGTGGGCTCCAGCTGCCCAGTGCTCTGAAAGAAGGGTGCGTGGGCAGGGGGAGATGCAAACAGCACCTGTGGGTGGAGGGGAAGATGCCCTGGGGTGTCTTTTAGAGTGTGCTGGAAAACAACAAAGTGCCTTGATGCAGAGTTTAAAAATAGGTGCGGGGAGCAGGAGGAACTTTGTCTCCCTGTGACATTGAGGTGTGTCAGTCCAGTTTTGTCCCGTGAGTCCTCACCAGACAGGGCTGGCTCTTCAACCGAGCAGCATCTGCACCTTGTGCGGTGAGCACGAAGTCTGGCGGGATGCTGGAGCCTGCAGAGCAGGTCTGGCTGACTGGGAACCAGGCTGAAATTGTCTTTGTGAGCCTGTTAAGGCAGGTCTGAGCTCGGCAGCGATTTGAGAAGGTGAGGGAGGGAGAGTGGGTGCCCAGGCTGATTGTCTGCTCTGCTCTCTTTCGCAGGATGCACCTGAAGAACGGACTTGTAAAAGACAAGCGGTTGTAAGAGAAGCGTGGCTGCTGCAGCCTGGGCAGCCTGGCAGGATCTGGGGACTGCCCCAGGGCCCGACACTCAAACCCAGCAAATGAAAGGCACAAGAAGAACTTCATCCCCGATACCCCTGCATCCCCTGCCTGAAGCTGGGGAAGAGATGCCACTGATGGGAACAGGGCTTGCCCGGGACTGGGCTTCACCCGATGCTGATGTGCTTTCTGTAGCCAGTACGTGCTGGTTCAGTTGAGAGGCTGTGGCTTTGCTGGTCCAGGTAGGATTTGGAGCTGGCTTTAGGTCCCCTGGTGTTTCTTCTGTCGCTCCATCCCCCAGCTATTCTCAGCCCCGTTGTGATTTCCCATCTTTATTTTTGGTCCCTTCCAACAACCCTGCCTCAGCAGCACTGCAGGGGCTTCGGACCTAGCATCAAACTGGAGAGGGAAACATCCTCTGCTCACTGGCACCACTGTCCCAGGCCAGGGGAGCCCAAAGCCAGCTCTGCTCCAGCTGCCAGCAGGCACTAAGGAAGGGTTTGCAGGGCACCTCTGAGCCTCGCTGACCAGGACGGGTCCCTAACACGGAGCTGTCCCTGTGCACCTCGAGGCTGCAGCACGCAGCAGTTCCCTCGTGCAGGTCTGCCTGGAAACCCAGCCCTAGAGCATTATTCCAGCCTCCTGCCCTCCAGGATGAGGACCAGGACATCTAAATTGCTCAAAACGCCCCTGTAACTCTTACAGTTGCTTAAAAAGCCAGCCCTGAGCACAGCTTGTGCAGGGTCCCCAATGAGGGATCTCCAGCGAGGTTTGCCTGCTCGAGTGCAGAACAAAAATTCTCAGCTCCCTGCGGTGGTTTTCCAGGCAGCACCAGCCCTGAGCCTTGCAGGATCCCCGAGGCCAGGCTGGGCCACGTGCCTCTTTGCTGGGAAGCCGTCAGGATTTTACTGCCCTCGGTCTGAGCCCGTCCCACTGCTCCCCTCTCGCAGGACCCGTCCCTGCAGTGCCCTGGGAAGCAGAGCTCCCCCCAGCCGGGGACAATAGGCAGGGAAGGGGGATTCAGGGCATCAATTCCAGGGTGGCTAATTGTTTTTTTTTTTTTTGTTTGTTTGTTTTTTTCTATTTGGTCTCGCAATGTTGATTCAACTCCAGGCCCATTGTGTGTGCCTCAGGGAAAGTTCCTCAGTAAACAGAAAGCAAAATGTGACTTTGGCTGGATGGAAACTGTGCCAGGCAGGATCCATCACCTCGCTTGTAATTACCCAGCAGTGTTTCGGAGGGCTGCGTCTCGGTGCTCTGGTTCTGTGGCTGGTTGGCAGGAAGGAGGGAATGAAGGAAATCGAATTTCTTAGCGTCTGCTTGCCCAGGCTTCAGGGTTTAACCGGGGAACTCATCGGGCAGCGTTTTGTGTGTGAGTTTGGTCCGGAGGGTCCCCTGCGTGGGGAGCGGGCGCTGAGCGCTGTGTTCTCGTGGGTGTGTAGGTGTGTGAGGCAGGAGGGGAGAGCTTGAAGACGTGGGGTGCTGGAAGTTGTCAGGCTTTAGAGGAAAGTGTCAGACGCTGTGATTGAAACGCTGATTTGGAGGAGGCAGTGAGAGGAGACCCCGTGTCTCCCCCTGGACCTGTGTCTCCCCCTGGACCCGGGTGGGTTGGCCACCAGTTCTGCCCTTCTCCAGGGCCCTGGAGCGGTGCTCGACGTGCTGGCAGCTTTGTGGAGCCCTTTCCCATCACCAGGGGCTTTGTCGTTGGGCCTCGGTGGTGGGGAGATGTGGAAGGGGCTGGGAGCAGAGGGAGGAGGGCAGCCGCCCTCCCACCCCGCAGCCTCAAAGGGTTAACAGGCCCCGGGGAGCCTGGAGGGCTCGCTCCCACCCTCTGCCCAATCCTGGGAATCCCTCTGTGCTAATTGAGCACTAACGAGATCAAAGGCTCCAATCAGGCAATCAACACCCCCCCTGGCCCCTGCCTTCAGTGCCCTGCGAGCGGGTCCCCAGCACAGCTCTTTGTCTGCGGGAGGAGAACCGGGATGGGGCCTCTCCCCTCGCCTGCCAGCTTCAGAGCTGGCCTGGCCTGGGCTCTCCTTAGCGTCAGCCTGGGGATGGATTTCAGTTTGCAGGAAAGCTTGCTGTTAAAATCCTTGGGTCTGAGCACCAAGCCCAGCCCCAAAATCCCCGTTCCTGTGCCGTCTGTGCTCTGGCGGATCTTCCAGAAGAGAAAGATGCCTCCTGCAAACACAGAGCTGGCGGATGGCTGTAGGGTGGAGGAATTTAATGTCCCGGGGAACATCATCCGTGTCCTCGCTGACCAAGGTACAGAACTGCTCTTGTTTGGGTCCTGTCTTTTGGAAATCCCTCTGCGCCCTGGGCTGGGAACGGCTGGGGGAGGACGGGCAGTGGGTTTCCCTGAGGGAAATCCCTGCTGTGGGAGCTCTGGTCCCTGAGGATGGTGTAGGTAACCGGTTATAGTCTGGAACTGGGGGGCTGAAGCTGTGTAAGGTTCTGTCCTGTGAGTCACCCAACGCAGTCGGAGGCGTGGGTTTGATCCTAGGTGACCAGTTTGGCCCGTGGTGGGGCTCTGGGTGCAGCGATGAGAACTGGGGTCACACCTGCACCCCGGGTGGAGGCGGGATGGATGCTCAGCCATTTGGCTGTGTCCTTTCTCCCCTTCTTCTCCTTGTCCTCATGCCTCCGGCTGCCACATCTGGCCACTTCAGCCCATGGCTTCTCTGAGCCATTCCCAGTTATGTGGGAAGCAATCGGGGTCCTCCAGGTCTCGAGACGCCACCGAGCTCTTGCGAGTCCAGGTTTCCAGTGGAGATCTAGGGCTGGCTGCAGCTTTCCCACTCCCATCACTTTGCTGCTATCTGCCCTCCTTCCCCCTGCATCCCAAACACCCAGCGCCCACAAGAACCCCCCTGTCCTGGGGGCGAGATATGTACAGCTGAGGAAAAACGATGCCCCGAGGTGTCAAGTAGCTTCTAGAGGAGTGTTGGTGCCCTGCTTGCGAGGGTGCAGAGCCAGCAGGGAGGGACAGAGCCGTGCTGGTGTGGCTGTACCACCTTGGTGCCACAGGCTCAGGGCTGTGCCGTGGGGCCGAGAGCCCCCAGTGCTGCAGTTCTGCCATCCTGATCCAGGAGATCGGAGCTGTGGGAGGCTGATCCTGCCCAGCGTAACGGAGCTCAGCCACCGCCACCTCTTAATTTCTCCTTCTTTGTCAGGCCACTTCATTCACAGCGGGCAGCCCCAGCCGTCGCTGTGCCTGCAGAAGCGTCTGTACTTTAATCTCTCCGTGCTGGAGGAGGGCGAGCGCTTGACAATGGCTCAGCTGGAGATCAAATTCAGCCACAACTCCTACCACGCGTCCAGCCAGGGGCAGGTTTTTGAGCTGAGGCTCTACCAAGCCCCCCGGCTGCCTCTGCGGGGAACGCCGTCCCCCGAGCCCGGCCGCACGCTGCTGGTGGAGCAGTCCTTCGCCCGGCTGCACAAGTCTCTGCTCTTCAACCTGAGCGGGGTGGCGAAGGACTGGAGAACTCACAGCAGGAATCTGGGCCTGATCCTGGAGATCTCGGCGAGCGGCAGAGGCGGGGAAGCAGCTGGGGCGAGCGGGGGGCCGCAGAGCCTCTGCGCCAGCATCGACTCCTTCCTGGATACCTCCCTCCTGGTGGTGAGCCTCAGCCAGCAGCAGTGCCGGGCCTCCAGGAGGAGGAGAAGCGCTTACAACATCCCCGTCACGCCGAGCAACCTCTGCAAGCCCAGGCGGCTTTACATCAGCTTCAGCGACGTCGGCTGGGAGAACTGGATCATCGCCCCGCAGGGCTACATGGCCAACTACTGCCTGGGTGAGTGCCCCTTCCCCCTGACGGCCGAGCTCAACAGCACCAACCACGCCATCCTGCAGACCATGGTGCACTCGCTGGACCCCGAGGGGACTCCCCAGCCCTGCTGCGTCCCCGTCAGGCTGTCCCCGATCTCCATCCTCTATTATGACAACGACGACAACGTGGTGCTGAGGCACTACGAGGACATGGTGGTGGATGAGTGTGGCTGCCGGTAGCGGGAGCGGCTGCGTGGGTGCGCGCCGTGGGGTGGGGGTCCTGGGTGAAAAGTTGAACGGTTGATGGAATAAACCCACGTGCGTTAAATCCCCGCTGTGCTGGTGTTTAGGGAGTTTCCCTTGGGACGGGGAGTGTCAGAGCTCCCTCCCCTCTGCCCTGCCTCCTTCGGGTGCAGCCAGGGGGGAGGTCAGGCACAGAGGGATCATTTTGGGGTTGTGCTTTAGTGACAGCTTGTGCTTGGCCCTGCACGCCACGCAGCCAGAGCCAGCAGATGGCTATGGGATGATGACCAAGGCCCTGGGAGTCCGGTTGTCCATTCTTTGCGGGCGATGGTGGCACCAGGTTGTGAATCCCGGCCCCTTCTTGTGCCTGGCAGAGCAGCCAGGGAGGCACCCGCACGGCTCAGCAGCAGCCGGGCTTGTGCTTTTTCAGCTTTTGGGCTAAATGCTGCAGCTTTTTGCGGTGTAAAATAGAAATGACCTAGTTAATGACGTGATGCTGACACGTCCCTGCTGCCCTGCGGCTGGGTTAGGCTGCAGGATTGTTAGGTTTGGGGATAAGGGGGGCAGTGGTGCTGAGCGCCTGCAGGGTGCTGTGACGTGTTTTGGCTGAGGGCTGTGTGAAGCAGGGGCAGCCGCACTGCAAGGTGAAGGGGAGCAGGGGGAGGCGGTGGCATCCCGGTCCTTTTCGGGGTGTCTCAGAGGTTCCTTCAGCTCCTGGGCAAGGCGCTGAGAGCAGGATCCCCGCTGGTGGCTGCAGAACCAGCCTGAAAAGCAGCCAGAGCCTGGTGGCACCCGGCAGCAGCTTTGCACACCGCAGCAGTGTTACAGCCCTCATAATTCAGGCACCACGTTGATGTGCTTATGCAGTTTTGGGGTTCCTTTTGCTTAGTTTTTATTTTGGTGATTCTTTTGTTTGGCTTTTTAAGGACGTGAGGCCCAGCCTGCAGCTGCTGGCTGTGGTCCCCAGTCCGTTGCAGTAGTGTGGGTGTGCTCCTGAGGCTGTGTAACGCCGTTAACAAAGCCAGCAGCCCCGTGTCGGGTGAGACCCAGCTTTGCACCATCCCCTCTGAGCAACGGTGACCACTGAGGAGTTGCTGCTTTGCTTCCCCCTTTCCCTACATGGGCTGTAAAGTCAGAGCAGCTGCACTGTAACGCCCGGGGCAGAGCTTTGGGGCTGTGCCCTGTGGGGTTACACAGGCAGCGTGTGCTGAGGCAGCACCAACGCTTCCCCAGGGGCTTGCCTGGCACACCTGAAGCTTTGCTTTGCTTCTTTTTTTTTTTTGGGGGGGGTGGAGTGGGGACACACAAGGAATCTGAGTTAGACTTGAAGTTGTTTTTTTTAATTTTAATTTTTTTAATATGAGCCTGACGGTGTAGCATGGATTTCTTTTTTTTTTAATTATTATTTTTGGTACCTCCGTTGTATTGTCTTCAAGGTCCGATGAAGTATTACCAGGCTAAGCTGGGCCTTCTCCCTCCTGGGAAGCACTGAAGGTTTAACCACTGTTTAGTTAGCAGAGGAAACATCCTCCCGCCCTGTGACAGTGTTTTTGAACACACCTGAAACACGTAGCTGAAGACCAAGACTGGAGTAGGTTGATATATTAGTACTGTAGCATGCTAACACTTTCTTGTCCAAGCACATTTCTCAACTTCCCCACAGCTGAGCAGCAAGCACCAGGGTTAGCCCAGCCCCTGAACCAGAGCTTCATGGATAGCAAGGTCAGGCACTTAAATGTTTTAAGGGGTTAAAGTGGGACTTCACTTGCTCTGCTAAAGCAACCAGGAACCATTTCTTCCCAATGTGAGATGGGCAGTATTCACGAAAAACAAAGTTTTTTGTATTTGTGCTAAGGAACAGAAGAGCTCAGCAGCCAGAGCCAGGCTGAGCATTGATGTAAGTCATGTGTAAGTGCCACGAGAAGGGGAAGCACAAGGTAGGAGACTTTCAGGCTGGACTTGTCACCTCCCGAACCAGCGCTTTGTCACTGCTGCAGTTCCCCCCCTGCACAGGGGTACAGGGTTGTAATGTTTGCATTTGAGCCAGAGGAGGGAAGGGAGGTAGGAAACTTAAATAGAGTTTTCACAGTTCATTTGCTTACCCATGTACGCTGTGCCCACATCCCACTTTTGTACTAGTCTGTGTTTAAAAAAAAAAAGTAATAAACTTGAAGTTTATACAATCAGACTAAGTTTTAATGAATGTTGCATGGTTTCATCATTGAAAGTTAGGGGCCACCTTGAATGCAAGAGCTGTTTATTAATATTTTATTGATGACAAACAGGTTTAAAACAAACTGAGACAAAATCAAAAAAGAGTAACACCGTGCTAGCACTGATGTCTGGATTTATAAAACTCAGAATAACTGCTACAAAGGAAAAAAACAGCACAAAGCAGAGGCAGGCATTCTCATCAGTGAAATAAATGGGGTGAGGGGAGAGGAGGGGGTTACATTACTCAATGGATTGCATTGCACAGAGGGTTACAGCTTAAACCTATCTGAAAAGTCTATGCAACTACGCAGCCTACAGAAGGAAAAAAAATTAAAAAGCCCTTCGGCAATGTTAATAAATAAAACAGTCCATCTTACAAGGAAGGAAGGTGGCCTGTGTCTCCATTCTTTCACATTTTAGAAGTCTAAACGCTGGAGGCTTTTTATGAGAAAAGAATGGTTTTCGTTTCTGGAAAGTTTAGTTTATTTTGCAGTTCCCGAACTACGTTCGCTGCAGGACCGAACAAAAATTTTGAACACCTGTTCCATTTTATGTGCACACTACTCACGGTTTGTGGGTATGCTACACCAGGTCTGTACTGGGGGAGAGACACTCTTGAAAAACTACAGCAAATACAGGTTATGAAAGCGGGTCAACACTCTACAGAAAGGACAGTAATGAAAGGGCTTTCCCCCCCAGTTACAAAAAGTGGGTTTTACATCATTTAAGTACATTCATATGAGAGGTATTTTGAGTTCCCCCAAAAAAAGACTAGAAACACTTGGAGCCCTTTGAGTATAAAGCTAACTTAATTCAAACTTTAAAAACATCTAGGTTAGTGAATCACACTCTACTGATCTTTGCCAATTAGGAGGTAGAGGTTAGTCTAATTTAGGGATCCAATAAAAATGGGTCTGTAGGAATTTCAATTCTCTGCGCTGTTTCTAAAAAGGTTTAGACACAAATAAAATGCTCCCAGTGTTCCCATATGACTTATTTAAGACATGGGTACAACTTAGAAATTGGATGGCTTCTCTTATGTGCTGTTTTCAGTTTTGACTTCCAGCTATTTCTCAAGCCAGCACTGATGGCACAGCCGCGTGCGCTACCTGAAAAATAGGCTCCGGGTTTGTTTTTCAACACCTGAATCTTTCAGCTATATCTGCATTAATCACCGAAGAAGCCACACAAAAGCCTAACCCATTATCTCTAATTATACCCATCCATCAGAGGCCACCTTCCAACAACTGCCTGCTTTGTCCATTTTTCCAACCTGCTTCGGTAACATTGTAGTCTTTACTTCAGAACCAATATAATCCCCAGTTTCCACTACTTCTTCCCCACATCTGAGGGAGCGAGTAAAGCAGGCCTGTTAGCATCTTTTCCTCCAGGGCCGAAGGGCACAGGAACCCATCCCCTTTCAAGCGCAAAGTTCATCTTACAGAAAGGCTTGTTTTTCACAGAGTAGAGTCCAGACAGTAGCCAATTAAAGCATACAGAAAACACTTTGAAACCCTCCTCCTGCTCGAGCGCGCAGGCTCCTTCCACTCTAACTGCTATCCAATGTAGGAAGAAGAGGCTGATTGCTGCAACTTTAAATCACACTGAAAGTTCTCAAGGTTGGTGCTCTAATTTAGTTTTAAACTTTTTGTAAGCTTCTCAGAACAAGGATCTCCCAGGTCCACCACTAAGATATTCAGAGACAAACTTCTAAAAATTCAGTGCTCCTTTGAAAGCATCTCTTTAAAACCACCTTGTCACGAAAGACCCGTTCAGAATGTGGGCGACACGATGACACTAGGATTTCAGAGCCAGTGTTGGACAACAAAACCTCCATCTCAGAGTTGAGCATCAGCTATGTTCCGCTGGATTTCTGCTTGGCTTGCTGTCACTTAGTCAGGAACTCTCTCAGATACTCTGCTTCTAAAATGTAAACAGTTACTGCTAAAATATAGTACCCCTTTAAAATGAGAACAACTCTGAGATGAGGGTTTTCCTCTCCCCGTCTGCTCTGAAAAGTAATGCCCTGCTCGCAAAGAGAAGTATGGAATGAAGTGAAACCTGCTTAAGGCCCTTCTCTCGAGCTTGGTTGACTGGGGGAGCAGGGACTCAGCTGACCACTCATTTCAGGGTGAGTTGCCTTCCCAGTGAGGCGCCAGCCAGTCCTTCGGTGCTCTCTCTCCTCTCCGGTCAGTCTCCTTGTCTCAGTGAGCTAGCAGTGGGCTCTCTCGCGCGCGCTCCTTTCTCTCTCTCTCCTCTCCGTTGGTTGGTTTCTTTCTCCTGTTGCTCTCACACAGTGGTGCTTCAGTTTTAGCAGTGGAAAACAGGTATCCATTTTATTTTATTTTTTTTATTACCCAGAATAAAATGCTGATGAACTAAGCTCCACACAAGCTTAGCTCTTCTTCCTCAACCTGAAAGCAAGAAAGCAAAACGACAGTTGCATGACAGATGCCGCAAGACAAACACTGCTTTCATCAGCATAAATCAGGGAGTAAGAAGCAGAGGAGTGAACCTCGAGTGCCTTACACTCTAATACTGTGACAGTCCCGTCACTCCGCCATGTTGATATGCGCGTTCACCCTGGTAAGTAGAGTCCTGTGACAGCGCCACGTCAATCTGAGATTTAAACTCATCACCAAGGTAACTGTCCTGAAAATGAGAGTGTTTGTTAAGCCTCTAACTCATCATCAAGCTCAAGTGCTCCCTTACACAGCAGGATATCTGGCAGCCAACATTAAAGGAAGTCTGAGATTTTTGGTTTTCAGTTTGCTTTTAAAGTTGACCCCATTTTGCTGCAGAATTACTACAAAGAGCTTTGCAGTAGCGAGCTGCTGAAAAAGCTAGCAGTTCAAAATTAAGGCTCACGCTGAAGTTGATACATGCAGCACTTCATTCCTCTGCCCAAATGTATTTAGGAAGTCCACCGAGTGGAGGGGTATGAAATGGTTTCAATGACTGACTCATTGAAAACGTTTTAGCTCCCACTTACCTCAATTCTAGGAAACAAGGACATACGCACACACCACTGACATAAAACCCAGGAGAAAGGGCAGACTGTGCATCAAATTCTGCTTACCTGTGATAATTCTGGTTGGGAGAGCCCAGGCTGACTCATCTGTGATGGCTGACTCATGGAGATATACCCCTGAGTCAGTGGACCCTGGGAGAAAGGCTGGGACACCACATCTTGGCTCGCTTGACTATTTGGAAGGTTTGACTGACTAGTTCCAGGAATCCCAAAACGATTTTTCTGGCGCCCACCACGACCAGTCTTTCCTTTTGGCGCCCCACGTCCTGGAAAAGCATTTATTCCAACCAAGAGTGAGAAGTTTCACAGACACAAGTGTGTGAGAATTAACTGTTCTATAAAGTCTTGATGACTCACAAGAGGCAACACTTCATACGTACTCAATGTAGTAAGTGAAGAGAAATCAATACAACTGAGATTTAGTAATAAATCACATCACCTACTCTCACAGGAGTAACAGAAAACATTCTCCCACTTCACACCTAAAATGTGGCTTCTGCACCATTTCATCCTTGCCCCCGTACCTGCAGCTGGTCCGTTAGCCTGGCCAAAGTATCCCGGTGGTGGCATCGGTGGCATCACGAGGTTGAAAGGGATAGGAATGTTCATAGCAGTGACGTGGCTGGGGCCGGCACTAATCATCCCGATCTGGTCGTGGGTTTGGAAGTACATGTTGGATGGGCGCCCTGGGGAGGGGAGGAAAAGCCAGAATGATTTCAAGCATCCTGAATGGGTTGGTAGTGGCTCTTCCAACACTTCCATGTTTGAAGTAAGATACCTTACGTCAAGAACTAATTTATAAAATCTGCAAGGGTGTTAATTTTGACAGCTTCTTTACCTTGACTGCTTCGGTCATAGACAGATCCTGGAATAATAGCTTCACGTGCATCATACATGGCAGTAGTCATGAAACGGGCACCCTGAAAGCATGACAGCAGTTAGACAAAGCTTTTGCACAGACAACTTCGTGCTGCAACTTGTACAAGTTATTTCGAGTAAGAATTCAGTAGAAACTCCACAGTGTTTATCGAGTATATGTTATCTGAGGAAAGCTATTTCTAATACATGGAAAACATCCAACTTTTATTTCAACCACATGGTGACAACTAGAAAAAAAAAATGACTTTACAGACAGCCTATTTAAAACTGAAATATTCAATGAATTTCAAGTCTATTTTGAGGTTCTGATAAAAGTTTTCCCTTGATCTATTTCTACCACTGTCTTTGTGATGGCTGACAAGCGTCTTTTCCCCCTTCCCCAAAACAACTACTTATCTTATATTAAATAACTAAGATAATTCTCAGCTTCACAGCACTGTACCTAAAAACTTTCAAGAATGCCTGCCTGATGAGCTTGCTATTTCTAAACACAAGGCTTATTTGATGTTTCACTGCACCTAAGAAGTTACCCCTACATGAAATTTTGCAGAGAATAAAGACAAACACACCAAAAAGGCCTTTTCTACAACTGTTCAACTTAAACTGCACCTTACTTGGCCACAGTCCACTAACAACACAACAAAAATGGAAAGATTTGGGTGTGTGAGAGTATGCAGGTGACTGTTCATTCCATCCAAAATTGATCAATCAATCCCTAATTGCTTCACGCTGCAGATATCTGAGGGACGGGAGAGGTAAACTTACTGGGTTGATAGTATTGACGAGTTTTCGGGGCTTGCTGAACTGCATAAGGCTTTCCCGGAGGTTATTCAGTGGTCCCTCCACTAGAACTTTCTGCTCCTTGTAATAATTCAGCAGGTGATTCCAAAGTGGTTGTTTGGAGAGCGCTTTTGGGTTCCCAACAATAATTACTCCATATCTACAGAACAGCAGACAAGCACAGAAACTAAGATTAGCCATAACCTAAGATTAGCCATGCCATAACCATGTAAATCAAGGCATCTTATAGAAGCCCATGATGGTAGCGTAGGAGACCCTGAT